GGCCTCAAACATTTCCAGGGATAGGGCATCCTCAGCTTCTCTGGGCAACCTGTTCCAGTGCCTCACTAGCCTCTGAGTAATCCTCTGAGTATTCTTCCTTTGTTTTTTATGAACCCAAAACAGTCATCCATTTTAGTGGCTGCACAGATAAATGTGAATGCACATTAACTGAAGAATTCTGATGCTTAAAAAAGATCCAGGAATTGTATAAATGTAACAAAAAATCTGTTCATCTTATGTAAACCAACTTTGTTCCCAGTATAATGCATTGCTGTTTGTCCTGATATATTTGCTTTCCTCTTTGATCAGGTGATAAACATTGCATTTGATAATGAGCTGCTTTCACTGAGGCACACCTTGTTTCGGAAGAAGAATCGACAATTCTACCACAGAGAAAATTCAGTCAAAGCCCTTAACCTCATGAGACATAAGTCATCTATACTAAAAGTTGGTATTTAAGAACACGTCCTCATTTCATAAAAGCATATTGCATCTAGAACAGAGGACAGTGGAAGGAGTGCTACTCAGACATCTGTCATTTTCCATTTCCACAATTTTAACTTGGAAAGAAGATTTATCCCAGTCATCTCTCTTATCCCTGAGACTCTATATTGCCTGCTCTGGGTCTGGGAATTAAGTGAGATAAGAGGTGGGAGGAATTTTAAAACCATAATCTTAAACAATAGTATCAAAATCTTCCCACTCCACTTACCTATGCTTTTTCCATATTGTTGGATGAAGGTTTTAATTTGCTCCACATCAAATTACATCATGCAACTGTGTAGGTCTCAGTTTGTCAGGAAGCATTAAATCCCTTCTGCAGAGGATGGGTAATCCCGCCTTACAAGAAATCCTCTTTGTTTTGTTGTGGTTTGGCTATGAACTATTTTATTACTCTGTAGTTGCTTTTACAAGTATGTTCTTCACTTGTACTATTACTGAATCTATTATTTTTTCCCGAAACATAATTCCCTATCAGATATAATGAGGCAAATTGTAAAAAACCTCTTTATTTCCTATCTCCCTTGAAAAGTAAGAACTCATTATAAATGCTGACACTAATAGAAATTACAATACAAATGTTTAAAACAAAAGGCTAATGTGATTTGTACTAAAGGCTAAGAGACTTGAGCTTCAGATAATATATGAGAATGAAGGAAAAAGGTCAGCATAAATTCTGTCTAAATTACTTTCTACTTCCTTTTAAAGGTCTCACAAAGGTAAACAAAGCTCTTCTTTCAACAGTAGATACTCCCACATATAAAAGCTTTGAAGGTCTTTTGTTAAATCCATAGCAGTGAGGCTAATGTATATGTGTTTTGCTTTGCTTTTAGCAATGCCCAGAAAATGACGATGAAAACCCACAGAGAATGGCAGGATAGAGCTTGAAGTTCATTCTAAAACTGGTTGTAAAGGGTATATGTTAATTCAGCAGCCTACTCGTATTAATTTTCCTTGTACTCAGTTCACACTTTGTTTAGTAGAAAGAATAGCTTTAAACAAGTCCTCTGTACTAATAAATAGCTGTATCAATGATAAAGAGACAATAAATTCATACATGGATAAAAGTCTTAGTAGACAATCATCTAAATTGTCTTTGAATTTCACTGTTCCACCAGATGGAATTGGAAAATGTTTAACTGTAACATTGAGCTCAGAGTGTGACTCAGCAGTATATTTCCTGGAGTATCAGATTAGTATCAGTTTCTCAGGCATTCCCTTTTTCTCCTAAAAACTCTATAGAGACACTTGCCTCTGGTCATATCTTTTACAACATAAAGTGTTCCTTTGCATCAGTTATTTGTTTGTTACAGAGTCACAAAATCACAGAATAGTTGAAATTGGAAGACACCTCTGGAAATCATTTGGTCCAACCCTGTATAGCTCAAGGCAGAGTCATCTCAAGGAGGTTGCTCTAGCCTTTGTCGAGCTGGATTTTGAAAAATCTCAAAGAATGGAGAAACCACAACCTTTCTTAGCAACCTGTTCTACTGTTTTGTCACCCTTACAGCATAATAAATTTTTCTCATATTTAAATTAAATTTCTCAGATTTCGGTTGCTCCTTAATTATTTTTCCATCTCAATCAATTGCCTACATAAAAAAAAATTCTATTTTTTTTGTTATCTCGTCATGTAAATTTATATTTTAGACTGATCAGAATAAGTGGTTAAAAATCTTGGGGTTTTTAAGTATGTATGGAACACAGTTTTGAGCAAGGTGGAAAAGCATGACATGTAAAATCAGTGATTTTGCTGACTGGCTGGAGGGTTTAAGCACAGTCTACTTTTGAACTGACACTACAAAATTTCAGCAATAACTCGATAGATTTGCTGCAATGCAGAGCTGCCTGCCTGCTTTGTTTGGATTAAATTGCATTTGGTTTTCTAATGAGAAATAAAATGTTTTCAGTTTCTTTCTGGGGGAAGGGATTCAGCTGTTGTTATTACTTTTTCTGTTGAAACCAATGAATATTGGACAAATAATTGCTCTGAAGTATCTCTTGGTAGCTTTCTTACACTTATTTGTCTAGGAAGTGAGGTTGCCACTGATTTAGATGCTTTCCATCATGCATAACATCCATCATCAGTTAGGTAGTATTCTGAATACTTCAGTATTCAGTTTTCAACCATTCTTCAAGCAAGATATCATCTTTCTTGATCAGCTTTATGATTCACTTACCTCCACAGTCCAACATGTTATACTCATCTGGTTTTTCCAGGGGCCAACAGTCATAGTCTTTGTTATCTAAATCATGCCACCCCTCCACTAATATCACCTGCCAGAAAAAAAACATATTAACAGACTCCAAAATAGACAGTATGAGAACAGGGGAAGGATGAGTTCCATCTCCCAAGTTTATAATTCTTCTACAGAAATGAAACCAAATGCAGAAACATAGCCTCACATACTTTGCTCTCTTGATCTTCTGGAGCAAAAAAAAAAAGTTTCCTAGAAGTATACAAACACAAATGGTATGTGACTTTAATCTGTCCAGAAATTAGCCAAGAAACAATGAGAGGACTTAACTAACCTTCATCTTGCAGGTTTTCTCTACAAAGAGCAGGTGGTTCTAGGACTACATGTAGAGAGACAGTTAATTTAAAGTATTTTTGTTTCCTTTTATAATGGTACTCCCCCCCCACACTCCAAACAGTTCAGTTTCTTTTAATCTTTTACACCTAAAATCTTCAAATGAGTAATTGTTTTTCTATTTTTGAAGACATAATGCAAATCTTAATTATATAAATGTTAATATATACAATGATAGGCAAAATTAAGATTGCATAAGCATAAACAGGCAGCATATAGCATCGTAACAGCACGTGGATTGAATTGTAGCAGTAACAGAATATACATTATACCTGTGTATATATATAATGCATTATAACAGATATATTAGTCATGTATTAAAATATACACTCCAGGGTATATATGAACAGAACAGAATACACTATGAAAATGCACTCTGGGCTTATTCTGCTTCTACTAAATTGTTTCTACTCACGCAATTTGCTATTTTTTTTCATAGATATCATTGAAGTATAATCATCTACAGTATTATAAAATGGTTTATCACAACATTAATGGAACAAGATAAAATGATACAACTGATTTTTCCAATATATTCTTCTATTACTCTTGGTTTCTACATTACTAAAATAAAATTCAACAATTGCCTGGTATAAATAGTTGTTTCAGTGTAATAAGCCATGTACAGTTCTTTCTGGATGCACAGATCACAGGAATAAGTTGTGGTAAGCAGATCTAGGTAGTGCACCTACCAATAAACTTAGGAGGCTTCGGAGTTCTAAGGCTGTTGTTTTGACGGCTCTCATGGTCCCTAACATGCTTCCACCTCACCAAGTGTCAGGGCTGCTTCTGACGTTGCTGTTGCTTCTGAATTAGATGCCCTTGCCTAAGAAGGAGGGTTGCTAGGCAAGCCGATCCTGGCAACTACAGCTGCTGCAGCTGTTCTGCCTCCTCCTTCCCTCTTCTCCCCTGCCCCACTTCATGGTGCAGGTTTGACGGCTCTCATGGTCCCTAACATGCTTCCACCTCACCAAGTGTCAGGGCTGCTTCTGACGTTGCTGTTGCTTCTGAATTAGATGCCCTTGCCTAAGAAGGAGGGTTGCTAGGCAAGCCGATCCTGGCAACTACAGCTGCTGCAGCTGTTCTGCCTCCTCCTTCCCTCTTCTCCCCTGCCCCACTTCATGGTGCAGGATGGAAACACTGCACCTCTGCTG